TGCTATGTCCAGGGGCCGCCAGGGATCCGCGGAGCCGCCCAGGTCGGCCCGGTGCTTTAGGAGCGTCTCCACGTGGCTGCTTGGCGCATATCTCACGGCGAGGGCCAGCACGTCTTTGTTTTCGGGTCGGTCCAGTTTTGCTTTGGCTTCCAGCAACGTTCGTAGGGCAGGCAGCGACCAGGGTCTGTTCTGGTTCAGCATGAGAAGTTCCAGTCCCGAAGTCGGCGTCGGGTAGAATTGCTGGAAGACGGTGTTGGGGTCCAGTGGCCGCCAAAGTATTTTTTTCAGCTTCGAGGTGTTTCTGTTCCACAGGGCCAAGCGGAAGTCTTCCGACTCCCTCGAGCCGTCGTGTATCTGGACGTAGGGCAGGAAGACGGCCTGCACGGTTGATGTGGCATCGATGCGTAGTCTCCCGCCCTGCAGCCTTCGTCCGGCGTGCAGTAGCCTTATGGTCTGCTTCGGTGCCGGCGTGGCGCAGCAGTACTCCCCTACGTACGTCGCCAGCTTCCTTGCTGTCCGATGCCGCCGTGCGTCTGTTTCGCCCAGGAGTTCTCCACTCAGCATGGTGATGCGCAAAGGCCCTGGCGACGATGCTTTCTTCAGTGTTCGTCGTGCAAACGGCCCCGGTCTGGGAGTCTTCGTCCTCGCAGCATCGGCCATGGCGTGTCCGGGGTGCTCTGCGGTTGTAGGCACCCGCGTGCTTTAGGGTGACCGGCCCTCCGTACGTTTGTGGGACCTGCTCGCTACAGGTGCTGCTATGCGTGTGAGTACATCGTTCCTGTGGCTTTGCCGTCGTGCCGGGTTGCTTGTCGTTGAGCTGTGAGCCTGTTGCCGCCTTGCTGACTTGCTGCTGGCGAATGGTGGCCGCGGCCCGAGGTGTCCGGTCGCGCTCTTGCCTGGGCCGGCTGACATATGACTGCGAGCAGGCCTGCGTGCGTCTGGTCGTGCAGCGGCTCCAAGTCTGGCTTGTGCGGTTCGGCGAGTGCTTTGGCGCCTATGCTGGGCATGACCGTGCGCCTGCTGCCGGCTCTCCCCTTTTTTGCCTTGCTGCGGCTCTTCTGGTCTCCGGGGGTGCTGTACATCGTGCGCTTGCCGCTCGGTCCCCTAGTGTAGCTGGTGCTCGAGACGCTGGTGCTCGGCCGGCCTGTGCACACGGCACCTACTGCCTTTCACTTACGTCTACGAGTCGATGCACGTGGCCCGGGCTTGGGGCTCGGCGGCCTTTTCGGTTTCCGGCGGCTGGCTTCCTTCCAGTGGACGACAACTTCCACGTGTGCCATCTGGGCGGTGATGCTGTGCTCGAGGATGTTGCTCCAGCTCCAGTCGTCTGTGATCACGTTCCCGTCTAACATCAGCTTGGTGGCATGCAGGTCGATCGGCCCGGTGCTGCTGCTGTCCAGGTCGTGGAGCAGGACTTCTCGGGGGCTGCGATGCCGTAGCACCTCTGCGGGCGGGGGCTTGTTGGTGTGCTGCCGTATTGTGCGCAGCTCCGGGAGGGATAGAAACCGGTCCCGATGGTTTCCTGGTTGCAAGGGGGCCTGCTCGCGAAAACGGTAGCTTGGGTAGGGTCTCGAGGTGTGGAGTTCACCGCCTTTTGCGTCCGTGTAGGTCACCGTCATGTTCGGCATGATTGCGTCCTCGAAGCTCTGGATGTCTTCGTCGGTCTGTCTCTGCATCTTCTTGCGGCTGCTCTCCATTTCCGAGTTCTCGTAGTCGTCCGTGAAGCACACCTGGTCGGAGTCGCGGGTGGAGGGGTTCGAGGAGGGGGATTCCTCGTCCATGTCGTCGGACATCCTGGTCGTGGCGGTCGGCCTCAGGAGCACCGGTTGCTGGACGCCCGCCGCGTTTCATCTGCGGCGACGTGCGCGTGCTGAGGTCTGCGCGGGAGCACGGGCGAGCGCAACCGTTCGAGAGAAGATGCTGCGGCGGCCGCGTGCGAGGAGATGCTGTTGGGGCGGGATGTGTTGGGCATTCGTGCAAGGCTACCTCGCTGGCATGCTAGCCGGGTCTGTTTGGGGTTCGACCTGTGCGCTGTTTTCCTTCTGCCATCCCTCGCCATGGTCTTTGCAGCGAATCGTGCCCGCTGGCTCGTGCGGGTCCGTGTTCTGCCTGGGCGGGTGCCCTGCATGCCGATCCAGCCCGTCCCGCAGCTTGCTAGCCAGCCAGCCAGCCAGCCAGCCAGCCAGGCACGGTTTTTTCGGTGTCGCATGTAGGCTCTCCGTTCAGTCTGTCCCCCACGGTCTCGGCCGCGACCTGTGCTGCTTTTGCTTGTCTGCAAAAGCGATCGGCCTCCTGGTGTCGTGTCTGCTTTGGAGCTGCTATTGTACCGCATGGGCGATGCTGATGGCCGGTGTCGGCGCTGAGGAGCTGTGCTCGCGGTCGGTCTGGGCGGTCGGTGTGAGTTTCGCCGCTTCCTTGTTTGCCTGGTTGCGGCGCCATAGTTGTTGGTCTGCAAGTGCTTCCTGCATGTTTCTTCTGCCTGCGTTCCCGAGTGCTCTCTGGAAAAGGAGCTTTGCTGTTGATGTGGGCATCGCGTCCGGGTTTCCCGGCTCCGCTAGCAGCGGGTTGCAGCGGGCCTGGAGGAGCATCATCACGTTTGTCGTATGACCTCCCCATGCGGCCAGGGCGAGCGGTCTGCGTCGGTTGGCGTTCGGGGCTTCCATGTCGGCCCTGGCATTCAAGAGCTTGCGTACTATCGCGGTACTGCTCTTGCGTGCTGCTGCTGCGAGGGCCGTTGTACCATTGCGGTTGCGCGTTTCCAAGTGGCAGCGGGCTGCGATCAAGAGCTCCACTGTCCCTTCTTGTTGTCGCTGTGCTGCCTGCAGCAGCAGGCCGTGGTCTTCGTCCGTGTTGGCGTTGACCCGAGCTTCGAGCAGGAGTTTCATGTTTTCCGTGCGATTTGCTTTGGTTGCGGCTTGCAGGGGCGTCGTCGTGGGGAACGTCTTGATGCAGTTCGGGTCCAGCGGGCGGCTCAGGAGTTGCTCTAGCCTGAACGTGTTGGAGCTTCGTGCGGCCGCGATCATTTCTGCCGTGGTTTTGTGGTCGGCCTGGGTGTACTGTAGTTTGATCATCTGCAGGTCGGCGGGGGCGGATATGAGAGCCTCGTCGTCCAGGGGACCGTCTGGCCCCAGCAGTTTCTGCCGAAAGCGTGGGAGTCCTGTCTCTCTCTGTAGCCGGCCTTTGACCACTCGCGCTTGTTCCGGCGCCTCGAGCGTGGCTTCCAGCAGTTGTTGACCGGCAAGATTGACCACGCGTAGGAGAAGGAGCTCCTGGCTTTTCCGCTTCGTGGAGCCTACGCTTGCGTCCTCTGAGGGCTGCAAGGCCATGGCCGCCGATCGCTTCCGCTCGGATTCGAGCCCTGTTGCTTGCGGCATTGTTTGGGGCGTCGAGGGCTCTTGGTGTGCCTGTCCGCCAGCTCTTCGTCGTGCGGTTCGTGCTCGCCTCCGTCCTATCTTTCTTGCATGCGGTGCTCCTGTGACCACGCTCGCACTTTTTCCCTCCTTTTGGCGCCCGAGGCTTGCGAGTGTCCGGCACTAGTCTGTGTGTTCGTCCCGCACGTTGTCGTGCACCCTGCTTCTGTCCTTTACGAGGTCTGCGATCTCCTTGTCTAGTAGCTCGACCTGCTGCACCCACGGTTCCTGGCCGTTGTCGGGGTGCGTTCCAACGATGTACATCTCTGTCACGATCTTCCGGTAGTGCCTCTGCAGGATCCATCGGTACATGTTGATCTGCAGGTGGTAGTGGGTGAGGCTGCTGTCGCCCAGGTGCTGCAGAGGGGGTTTCATGTAGCGGTTGAAGTGCTCTCCTCGGCTTGCTATTCTGCTGCTCCGCTTCCAATCCACGAGAGCCAGGCTGCCGTCGGCCTGCTGTAGGACGAGGTCGATGCTGCCGGCTACGTCGATGTCGTCGGCGTAGATCTTCCATTCCGTTCTGTAGGCCGTCGCGTGTCGCACGCTGTCTAGGAACTTGAAGAGCAGGCTTATCTCCGGTGTCATCGCCTTGACAGTCCCTCCGTTCAGCAGGCACTCGAACTGGGCGTGCATCCACGTCCCTTCTTTGGCTGCTTTGTCGCGGGCGGCTTCCCATTTTCGTTTCACGTCGTCACTCGGCATAGCGAGGGCGCGCAGCGCGGCTGCGTGTGGCGGGCCTGCCTGCTGGAGGGCCTCCTGCAGTTCTCGGTCCAGTTCCCCGTCGTCCTGGTCGCTCTGTTCGAGCATCGCCAGGATGCGGGGGCCCCTGGCCAGTTGGCCGATCTTGTCTCTCACGTCCGGTGGCGGGGTGATGCTGAGGTAGCCGGCTCTGGGCCAGTGGGCGCCTTCCATCATGTTTTGGAGCGTCTTGTCCGCGTCGAATCCCGCGGCGTATCCGTGGATTACCTGCGTCACGGACTCTCGCACGCGTCTGGTCTTCCAGAAGTAGGTGTGTGTTGTCTCGTCGAAGCGAAGGTTCACATCTCTCGTGTGGGCGTTCACGTGCTGGAGCCTGTCCGCAACGAAGTTGCCTGGTAGGTCTGGCGGCAATGGTCCTTCTCCGCGAGCTGGGAAGTCTGTCGGTGCGTTTGGGCTTCTGACCAGGTTGAGCGGCAGCAGGTGATCTAGGCCCTCGGTGAGCAGGCTGACCTTGTGCTCTTCGTGCTGGGGCTCCGCGTCTGCGTTCTCCGTCTCCGTGCTGGACTGCTCGTGGCAGGGGACGTCGGCCTCCATGTGCTTTGCGTGGGCGATTGTACGGTGGGGCCGTGGTGGCGTGGCAGTGCGCGGAGCTTATGGCGGCGGCGGCGGTGCTGGGTGGTGCCGTCGCCTGGCAGGCCTCCTAGCTACGGTGTCTTTGCGTCGAGGGCGCGGCTGCCTAGGTCTTATTCTGGCCCTGGCGCTGTCATGCGTGCGGCGCCCTTCCTCTGCTGGCCCTGCATCCTGCCCCGCGGCCGCCCTTTTTTCTGTCTCTCGCGTGCTGTTGCCCATTACTGTACAGTCTGCGCTAGCTCTCAGGGGGCTGTGCCGGCGCTAGACTCGGTGCAGGCTTATGCTGGGTTTTTGCCCGGGGCAGCCGTCGTGCTCGTAGTTCAGCATGATGGGGACGTAGCACGGGATGCTGTAGGATTGCGGCGTTGGCCGGGCTTGCGAGCTTTGCGGTTGGGGCGGGCCGTCTGCTGCCAGCGGCTGTGCCCGATCCCCTTCTGCTCTGGCGCTGCTTGCTGGTTGTGGTGGCGCTAGTACTGGCTGCCACTTGTAGACGAGCTCGAACCAGGTTCGACACGGGAAGCGGTGGTAGCGGCATCGTTCTTTGAGGGTGTCCTGCCACCACTTGAGCTGTTCTTGCTCCAGCTCGTGGTACATGACTGCCTGGACGAATTGCTGGACTTCTTCGTGTAGGCTGTAGTAGTAGGCTTGCCCGTCAGGTTGCTGCGGCTCGCCTTCGGTCGCAGCAGGCGCGGTGTTTCTGGGGCTTGGCGCTGGGCTTCTGAGGCCGATGCTATATGCAGGGTCCTGAGGCAGGGGCTCCGTGCCGCGTCGGCGCCGGCCGCGAAGGGTTGGATTGGGATCGTCTGGTGTTGCGTGGCGTCGGAAAAGGTCCTGGTGGCGTTCCTGAGGCTCGAGCAGACAGAGATGCGTTCGCTCTCAGGGGCCGCCTCTCGCCTGAGAGCCTTGCCGCTGCTGGCTCTCTTTCTTGCGGCTGCAGCGTGTCTTCTGCTCCGCCATCCACTTCTGGGGCTGCGAGGCTTTCACGTCGTTCTCGGCCTGTTGCTCCTGGCGGCTCGTTTCTCTTCTGCCCTCTGTTCGCAATGTCCTGCGTCTCTGACGTGCGGTTCCGTCCGCGGGTCCTCGCTGGTCCGTGCCGATGCTGCGGACGTTTTCTCTGCCTGATGAGCGAAGCTCGCTTGCCGAGGCTGCGTGTGCGGCCGATGGAGCTGGGGCGCGGGCAGTCTCCGTGTTGCTGCTATCCTTGGCACGGTGCAGTCGGAGGTGCTTATTAGGCCCCCGGGTCTCTGTTGCCGTCCTCCATGTCTGCCCACGGCGTCCGTCGGGGCATGGCGCGGCTGCCGTGTTCCTTGCGAGTCATGCCGTGCTGGCTGGACTCGGGGCCTGTGCGCTCTCGGCTACCCGCCCTGTTATGGGTCAGAACAGCTGCGGTCGGTGCTCCTCATGTCGTGCTTGCCTCTGTGTCCTGTTGTCGCAGGGCCGCGCCGTGCCTCTCGCCATCTGCACCGGGCTTTTTGTCCGTGCTCAGGCTCGGCGTCGTAGCTCGGGCCGCGGGGTTCGGGCCGCTTTGCCTGGCGAGCTCACTCCTGGTGCTTTCTGAAAAGACCTACCGCTTTGCGCTCAGTTGTACTGGCCGGCGATTTCCATATTGGTCATGGAAGTGGGAGAGCTGGCACGCGGCGTTGGCGCTTCCGGCGGGGCATGGCCTCGCCTGGAGATGGTTCGACGGCCTTATCTTCTGCACCTTCGCCGCCCTCTGTCCGATCTCGCAGGGCGTTGTCTAGGGTCCCCGGCGTTTTGTGGTTCTTTTTGCGGGGGGCTTTCTCTTCCGGCCCGTTGCGGAAGACCTCCCAGGATTTTGAAGTTGGGGGGCGGTAGAAGTCTCTTGGCTGTGCTAGCGGGACGACGTCCGTCAGCAGCAAGCCGTACAGCGTGTCGTCCTGGTTGATTCGGCCCACGTGCCGGTGCTGATCCCTGGTGCTTTCGAAATCCTCCGGTGCCAGCTTCCGGCACTCGCTAATTGTTGCGGAGCCGTATAAGCGGCCGGCGTAGCCCAGCCAGATGGGTCCTGGCGGCGCCGGACTGCTGCGGACTTCCATGGTCTTCCATCCATTCAGCAGGAGCGCCAACCAGGCTTCTTGCGTCACCATGATCCGGTCTCCGAGCGTCGGTGTCTTCTCTGGAGTCGTCTTCTTTTCTTCGTCATCCATAACGTCCTGTTGCAGCGTCACCTGGGTGTCGGGGACGCGGCACCCGCTGCTTTCGCGGCTTCCGGGGTTTCCGGGGCTTCCGGGGCTTCCCCTGCGGCTTCTTCTTTTGTGGACGGAGGCGCTTGCAGCGTGGCCTTCGCCGTCGCGGTCAGCTCGTCGTCTTGTTGCGGGGCCTCTGCTTGTGTGTCCTCGGTGGCGGCAGTGGTGCTCATAGCTTGCCACGACCGAAGCTTGCTGTCTCTGGGGTTCCGGCGGCGGTCGTCGGCTGCGTGGGACGGCAATCCGGCGCTTGCTCCTTCGGTGCGGGTGGCAGGCTTCCGGGACATGTTGTGCCCGCCGTGGCGGTTCTCGTCGCTGCTTCTGCCTTGGATCGGGCGGCTTGGCTTGGCTGGCTTCAGCTTGCTGCTCGGGAGCTGTGTGCTGTCGCAGGATCTTTTCCCGAGCATAGAACCATCTTTACTCCGAGTCGCCGATTTCACGGGAGCCATGGCGTTAAGGTCTTTCTTGGCGAGATTCTACCTTGATGGCTGGTTTGTGGCTGCGGGGACGCGCTGTGGTTGCGTCCGATCGCGGGTTGCAGCGTGTGCGCTGTGTCTCCCTGGTCGCATCCATGCGCGGTGAACCAAACTTCATTTCGGCTTTTCCTGTTCTGGCGAGGAGACGGCTGCTCTCTTCTGTTTGCCGGCGCCGCCGCGTCTATTTCACGGGCTTCCGGCGTGCTGCTGCGATGGTCCCGATTGTGTTGCGCATGTCGCTTTCGGAAGCCTCCAGCAGGATGATCTGCGCTTTCCGAAGTTCCAGCCGGATGGAAGGACTGGCGAAGGTGTTGCTTGTCGAGATCATGCGGGCCGGATGTTGTGCGTGGTGGGCCGCGATCTGGATCATGCCCGCTTTGGCCTCTTGCGTGTAGCTCGCGGGACAGCCGTCGGCCTTCCAGCTTCGCCACCACGTTTGGCAAGCCTGGTGCCAGAGCTCTGCTTGGAGTCGCTGATGCAGTCCTGGTTCGAGGTGCCAGTGTAGCACGATGCGTAGAGCCCGGTCTCGTGGACGGGCGTCCGGTGTCCGCGGTGGATGCTGTTCGCCTGGGCATTTGGGGTGCATGGTGCTCTTGTTCGGTGCGGCTGAATCGTGCTGCCGGGTGGCCGACTTCCTCGGCTGTTGCAGGGCAGCCGTTCGCCGTTAGCTTTGCCGCCTTGTGTGGCTTGTCCTTGGATGCAGTCGGGTCTTCGGACTTTGGGGCTTGCGATCGCTTATAGCCCGGGCACTGGTTGTGCCTCTTCCATGACCGGGCGGGCGCTGCTGCCCTGCGGGTTGCGCCTTCTTTCTGCTGCTCGTGCCAACGGTGCTGCGGTTGCGGTTCTCGGCGTCGTGGTTGCGTGGCTATGCACTGCGAGTGCTCGGCACACAGCTGCCTTTTTTCCTCGCCTCCTGCAGCGGCGTCCGGTGCCGGAGTCTGTCCGTGTCCCTCCTGGCTCCTACACTGCTACGCTTGCCAGGAGCCGATGCCGTCCCACACGAGCTGGATTTCGCTGGTAAAACCCCAGGCTGCCAGGGGAGGTCTTCGGGTGAAGTCCTCTCCGCACATCGTGTAGTGGAGAACGTAGTAGTTGAACTGCATGCATTGTCTTCCGCCTCGTCCGTAGAGCTTTATGCCGGCTTCGCGCTGTGCGTCGTAGGCGTCCTCAGGCGCCGCTGTGCCGGACCGCCAAAGGTTGAGGATGGACCGGTAGTGAAACCAGCCCAGATTTGCGTACGTCCAGTTCATCTGTCTCATCACCTGCCCGAATCGTCGCTGGGTCTCTGTGTCTGGCTCGATTGCCGCTTTGAGGAGCCACTCTCGCATGAGGGCCTTTGGTGGGCAATTCTCCCTGCACAGGAAGCCTTGCAGCTGCGCTCTTTCCTCTTGTATCAGGCGGGCCATGTCTTCGTCTTCAGGCACCGGTGGTCTTGCGAGGGGCCCCTCGCAGATCTCTTGCCGGGGGGACTCTGATTCTGGTGGGCAGCGGAAGATGCCGTCGTTTCCGCGCTCTTTTTTTTGCTCTTCGTCTTCTTCTTCCCCTTCGCTGCTGTCCTCGTCGATCTCGCGGGAAAGTTTCTTCTCATCTTGCTCTCCGCCTCCTCTGTTCGCTTCGTTGATGATCTCCAGGATGCGTAGCCAGTGCGCGGTGGAGTTCTTGCGGGCCATGCTTTCTCTGGGACTTCCACTGCGCTGCTGGTGCGGGCTTGAGCCTTGGCTTGTCGCTGTCTCGAGGAGGTTGCGTTGCTGGCCTGTGCTCATGTCGCTAGCTCCTGCAGGCTTCTGTTCGGCGAGAGTCTATCCGGTGCGCCTTTTTCTGTTTGCCTCCGTGCCGACGCCTGCTCTCAGTGTGGGCAAGTGAGGGGCAGTGAGGAGGGGGGGGGGGGGCGGGCGGGGAGGTGGCTGTCGCCGTGTCCTTGCTGTCCTGGCGGGCCCGCTGCCGGACGGCTTCTGTACACTTGGCCACTATATAGGCTGTCCGGGCCGGCCTTCGCTTGGCCTTTCGGCCTTTTTCCGGCAGGTCGCTGCTCGCTAGTTTGACCTCTCGCCTAGGTGGACGGACGGTTGTTCTAGCAGCCAACTGATCAGGGGATCCTGCTCAGTGTCTGTGTTGTCAATCAGGTACACCGGGATGTGCAGCAGGACCTTCTCCAGGATGCTTTGAAGCTTGGCCTTCTGGTCTTCGGAAGGCTTCAGCTGCACGTGCCGGACGTATTCGCTCTGTGTGCTGTCCGGGACTGGGACGGTGCCGCCCTGGATGTTGGCGGCGTCGAAGAGCTCGCGGAGGCCGTAGATGCCCCCGAAGAACATCACGTCGTATGCTCGGCGGCTGTGCTGGCCCTCGGGGACTTCTGTTGTCTCGTCCTCCGGGTCTTGCGTGGGTGCGGTCGTGGAAGCCGCCGGCTCCACTTGTAGCAGGACGTGTCGGCGGCCTCGGGGCGGGAGCGCCTGGAACGGACGCTGCTGCAGCCTGTGCGCGTCGTGCACCACCCACGGTACGGGCACGCTCGCGGTTGCTTCTCCGGGGAACAGGGCGATGAACTGCGGCAGCTGCGCGATCTGTCCGGTCGTGACTTTGTGGCGCATGATGAAGGTGATGAGTTCGAGGCCCTCTTCTGGCGTGGGGGCGTACAGGACGGGCTGCCAGTCTTGTAGGCCGACTCCGTCGGGATCTGAGGGGCCGGACAGCGGGGGTGCTCCCATCAAGATCCTGATGTGTTTCTGGGCTTCCAGTTGTTGAAGGTCCCTGATGTCGTCGTCGGGATGCTGTTGCAGGGCCTCCCTGCAAGTTGGGAGCAGGCTGTACCCGAAGCCTCCTCGTCCCCCGTGTACAACTTGGATTTGCCACAGCGGCTGCGAGCTGGTTCCGTTCTCGAAGATTCCGAGGGTGCTTCCCCAGCGCCGCACCGTGGCCACGAGCTCGGTGCCGTCTCCGTTCGCGGCGGCGTCGGCGGACCTGCCGAGTGCTCGTAGCGTGATTCCCCCGGCGCTGAAGCGTTTCTTCTTCTTGTTCGCGGCGGTGCCGGACATGGGTCTCTTGTCTGCCATGGTGCTCTGGTGCCGGGCTCGGCTTTGCTGTTCGGGCGGTGTCGAGAGCTTTGTTGTCTTGAGCCGAACGAGGCGTGGGCTGCGAGTCCGTGCGGGGCTGCCCTGGCATGGCGTTGGATTACCGTGCTGTCTTTTTGATTCACATCCGGTACAGCTTCCTCAGCAGCTGGTTCCATGGCGCCTCTTTTTTGTGGCTTTGCGCCGCTTCGCACCTTGGTGGCTTGCATGGGCACTGGCGCAGGTCGTGCTAGCCGGCCTGCTCTCGGGTTTGCTGAGTCCGGGACTGCCGGGTGAGGAACCAGCACGCGTCTTGCCAGAGGTGCGGCCGTCGGGGTCGTCGTGGGCTTGCGGTCGTCAGCAGGCTCAGCAGCAGACGTCGGAGGGACTTGACGTCGGTGTACTCGTGCTCGTTCGGCCAGTGCTGCTTGATGATCTGGACGAGCTTGGGGCGTGTGGTCTGCTTGCGCCGGGGGCCGTAGGGTTTGGACCAGTGGCTCCAGCGTGGCGTTCTCGGCCTCCATGCCCCTCGGGGCCGTGTGGCGGTGGTCTGCTTGCGCCGGGGGCCGTAGGGTTTGGACCAGTGGCTCCAGCGTGGCGCTCTCGGCCTCCATGCCCCTCGGGGCCGTGTGGCGGTGGCCTGCCAGGAGGTCTTCATGCTGCCGCCGGCGGTTTGTTGCTTGAGCCTGGTGTCTGCAGGGTTCCGTGGCCGTGAAACCGGACGTGGCAACGGGGCTTCGGGACGTGGTCCGGGTATACGCTGCTCTGCGACCTTTTTTCTTGGCGCCTGGTGCTTTCGGGCTTCGCGCGTAGCGGGCCGGACCTGTCTGCCTTATTAGCTGACCTACCCAGCTGCGCTTTCTCTGGGCCTGCTGGCCTGCGTGTCATGCTGACTCTGCTGACCTCTCGCCTAGATATACCGAGGGCTGCTTCAGGAGCCACTGCACGAGGGGGTCGCCTGCTTGGTTCGTCTGGTCGATGAGGTAGACAGGGCTTCGTAGCAGCACTTTTTCGAGGATCGTTTCGAGCTTGTGGAAGCTGTTCTCCGACTGTGTTAGCTTGAGGTGCCGCACGTACTCGTCCTTCGTTGCGTCGGGTTGAGGGACCAGGCCGCCCTGGATGCGGGCGGTGTCGAAATGCTCGCGGAAGGTGTAGATGCCGCCGAAGATCATGACTTTGTAGTCCATCTCGGCATTTCTGCTTGCCGGGCTTTTCGCTTCTTCTTGGCTGCTTGGCGTTTCTTGGGCGGCCGCGATGCTGCATGGCTCTTGCTCCGGCGGGGCCAGTTCTACCTGCAAGAGCACGTGGCGCCGGCCTCGTGGCGGGAGTGCCTTGAAGGGTGCTGCCTGCAGGACATGCTTCTTCTTGACTACCCATGGTGAAGGGACCGCCACGTTGTCTGGCCCCTCTGGGAAGAGCGCAAGAAGCTGCGGCGTCTGCAGGAGGTGTCCCGTGCTGACTTTGTGCTGCATGATGAAGTGTATGATGTTCATGCCGTCCGCTGGGGTCGGCGCGTAGATGACCGGCTGCCAGGCCTCGAGCCCGACTCCGTCTGGATCTGCTGCCCCGTTGTGGGGCGGCGCTCCGTTGAGGATCTTGATGTGCAGTTCTGACTCGAGCTGAAGTGGGTCACGGACTTTCTCGTTGGGGTGCCGTTGGAGTGCCTCCCTGCATACCGTCGTCAGGTGGTAGCCGAAGGCGTGTCGGCCGCCGTGCGTCACCTGCAGCTGCCAGAGAGTCTCTGTCTTTGATCCGTCGTCGAAGACCCCGAAGGTGCTCCCCCAGCGTCGGATGGTCGCGACCAGCTCGGACCCGTCGCCGTTGCTGTCGCTGGCTGCCGAGCTGCTTGGCGTGGTAGATGTAATGGAGGTGGCGCTGAAGCGTCGTTTTTTGCCGGCATAGGGGTTGCCGTCTGCTCTTGTCGCCATGGCGTCGAGCTCTCTGCTACGCGTGGGTGTCGGTGTGACTGCAGGGTCTCTCTTTACCTGGCGCGGCCGCGGCGTCTGGCGGCAGGTGCCACTTGTGCGCTTCACTCTTGATGCATCTGCTGCAACGGGGCGGCCACGGTCGTGCTTTTGCGGCGAGCATCCGTCCTCTATATAGTCGGTGGGGTGAGACTCGCCTGCTCGTGCTACTGTACTGCCTGGCCGTGGTCTCTGCTGTGCAACTCTGTCATCCTGGCTCTCTGTTCTGCTAGCTCCCTGGCGTGTCGCTATGTTATGGGGTCCGGTTGGTCGTTGTTGCCTTTCGGAGCTATTCTTACACTGCTACTGTGCCTTGTGGTTGTCGGCAGTCCCTGTTTGCTGGGGTGTCTGCTTGGCAGCACTCGGGATATTCTCGGGCTTTGCGGGCGGCTGGAGCCGGCCTTGTGGTTTGGCTGGCTCACTGCGTCCCTCGCGGCGGTGGATCTCGTCTTCGGGTGTGGCCGGGCGCTGTAGTGCCAGGAGCTTCGAGTGAATGCGCTTCACATGCCGGCGATTTTTGCAGTGGCACCGCTCCGGGGTACATCCCTTGTCTTCCAGCTGCAGCCTTGCTTGGATGCCCGGCGGCAGGCGATTCAGCAGCTCCTCCACGTCGATGTGATTGAATTCTAGCCTCAGCCAGGAGCACATGCTGCCGATCTGCGTCCCAGTGCTGCTGGGTCTGTTGTCGCCGAGCTGAAGAAGTAGGGCTCGTGTCGCCCCTGTGGAGAGGCGGTTGTGGCTCAGGTGCAGCTCCTGTAAGGTCTCGGCATGCTTGTCGATGAAGGCCGCGAGGGGTTCCAAGCACCGTATGTCGTTGTGGTGCAGGTACACCGCCTGGACTTCTCCGCCGATGGCCTGGAGGAGCTCGGCGGCATCGTGCTCGTTGAGGTTGTTGTGCTCCAGGTGTACTCGCAGCGGGGCCTGCGGCGGTCGCCACTTTCGTAGGGCCTGGCTCCAACGGCGCACGCTCTCCTTGGTCTGCAGGGTTCTGGCGAGGTAGACTAGGCCGGTTGGCCGGAGGCGATCGGAGTCTGCCGGTGTCAGGGAAGCCATGGCTGATCGAATTGCGGAGGGGGCCACGTGACGTCTGCTGCTTTGCCAGAGCCGGCGAGAACATGTGCGTGCTGCTGGCGGTCTATCGGATGGCTTGCCTATAGGCGTGTCGGCCTGCGGGCGAGCGCGTGCGGTTGTGCTGAACGGGCTTTTGAAATCGATCGGCCGATGGCATGCCGTGTTCTCGTTGGGTGAGACTTCGTGATGCCCGCCCCTGGGGTGCCTGGGCTGCTCACTCCCCGCTCACGAGCTCAATGGTGATGTGCGAGGTACGCCATTGCTCTTGTCCGCAACCTGGATCTTCCGCTCTTTGCAGTGCCTCGCCCAGGGTTAAGTGCCAGTCCAGTATGATCTCGACGCCTTCGTCGTCGTCGCCGCGGTACACGTAGACCGGCGTTCGGACTTCTTCCAAGTTCCTGGTGCAGGTCCTTTGCTTCTTTTTTGCCTGCTCTGGGACCGTGGCTTGCACCTCGCGCCGCCTGCTTGCGCGCTGGAGGTTGAATGAAATCGATGCCACCTGGCTGGCGGGGTGCTGTATCGCGTGGCTGAGGAGCTGGCTCGCCGGGCATCGTGGCGTCAGTGGCGGCAGCTCTTCGTGCTTGCCATCGGTATCTGAGAGTATGACCACCTCGGCGTCCATGTCCATCTGATCGCGCACTTCCTCGCTGTCGTCTTCGCTCTCGAATTGCCCGGCTGCTTCCAGTGCTTCCAGCAGGTCCAGGATGTCGTTCGCCGCGGTCTGGACGTTGCAGCGTGCCATTACTGGGCTTCCGGCCGGCGGGTCTGCGCGGGTTTTCCACTGGGACTTTGACGAGGGACTGGCTTGAGCCTACGTAGCTGCGCTCTACGTAGGCTGCCGCGGGGTGAAGTGTCCTGGTCTGGCAGCTTGGCTTTGTTGGTTGCAAGCTCAGGCTTCTGGCGACGCGACTCTTGGTGCGATTTTTCTTCTCTCGAATCGACTCTTCGTGCAGCCCCTGTGGCGACGAGGCCTCGGCGGGTGTGGGGCTTGGCTGGGCTGTGCCGTCTGGAGCTGAGGCCTTGACCATCTTTAGCTGGGCGTGCGCTGCCGTGTGCCGTTTGCGCCGGTCGCCCTGCCGCGGCTGTGTCGCAGAGAATCATTCGCAGTGGCTGTGCGCGTCTTGTCTCGCGGGCATGTGCTGGGCGGTGGTAAGGGCCGGGCTCGATGAGTTTGTGCGGCGTGGGCAGGTTCGCCTCGCGCGGTGCTCGTCTGCGCCGCACCTGACCGGTGGTCGGTGCGTGTGGCTGACAGTCGGATGGCTGGTTTCCGGCCTGTTTGCTGATCGCGAAGCGGAGCTGCTCCTCGATGTCCGGCTGCAGCGGTGGGACCTCGCTTGGCTCGTGGTTGGGTTGCTGTCTCTGCTGGGCGGCTCCCTGCTGAGGCTTCTGCACCGAAGATTCTCAGGACCTCGATTAGCAAGGCCTTGGGACTCGATGTCGTCGTGGTACCCGTCGTGACGGCCTGGGCCCGTGCAGGTTCCAAATGTTCACCCGTCCTCCTTGTTGTGTGGCCTTCAGGAGCCGCTGGGCGATTGCATCTGCTGCCCCACGCGCCTGAAGGACACGGGCGTGTATGTGCTTGCCGTGGAACTTCATTGCAAGCTTCCTGCCTGTTCCCTCAGCGGGTGGCCCGCCAGGACCACTTTCTCTTCTTCGGTGAGTGGCCCCGTGGTGCCCAGTAGGTGGAACTTCAACTGCATCGGTGCGCGGGCTATCTCTTAGGGCGCGTGGTTTCGCTGGCTGTCCTGGCCTTGTACTTGGTACAGCCGGGCAGTCGGCTGTACTTTTCCAGCATCTCTGCGATGTCCTCCGTGGCGCCTGGCGGTCTTGTGTGGCTGCGTTTGAGCGTGCAGGTGGCTGGCAGCTGAGGGCGCGGCTGTGCGTCTGGAACTGCATCTGCATCCCCTGCAGCTACCGCGGTTGGTTTGCTCTTGGTTTATCCTTCCCGGGATCCCGCCTGGCTGTGTTGAGTTGGCAAGGGCTGGCTAGCCGTGAGTCGCTGGAGCCCAATGCTGTGTCTCGGCCGTACTCGCTTAGGCTCTTGCTCTGCAGGCCGGGGCAGTTTGGCGTCGCTCTGGACAGTTCACGGTCGCTGCAGCCCTTTTTTCGTCTTAGCCCGGGTCGCCCTCGCGCAACGCCTGCAGCGGCCGGGCCTTGGCCGGCTTCGGGGCATGAGTGCTTCTAAGTCGAAGTCTACGCGAAACTTGCGTGTTGCTCTTTGTCCTGATCTCCGGCAGCTACGGCTGAGGTCGAAGCTGGGGCTCTACCTGCAGCGGTAGTCCGGCCAGAAGTCCTCGGGTCGCTATGCTTCCGAGCGGTCGTGGCTTCGCGCTCGGGCATCTGCTACCCGACGTCGCAGTGTCAGGCCCCCACTGTGAAGTCCAGGTCGTCGTGGTCGACCGAATAGCGGCACCATCCGGTTGCCTGTCCTCCGTGACAGGTCTCTTCCTCAGTGCTTGGGGGGTATGGGTAGCTGTTGGTTGCGGACGCCATGCGTTTCGCTTTTGCGCCCTCTTACTGCCGAGCCACGACCGTGTGGACGTACCACCGTCCTTGCACCCTCCACCACCACTGACCGTCGCACCTCGTGGCGCCGAGGTGTAGTGGCGCTCCGGCCTTTACCGTGCCCGCGGACTGGCCTGGCTTGGAAAGGCCCACCGTCGAACTCCGGGTGCTGATGCGAGACGATGTTGCCCATCTGGCGAAGATTGAGGTGGCAGGTCTGGGTTCTCGGGGCTGCTCGAGGTCTAGCTTGTCTTCCCTCGCCTCTGCTTGGAAAGGTGGGTCTTCTGGGCCGGCGGAGCTCTGGAGCAGTTCACGGCTGTGGTGTCGTAGATGATGGTTGTCTAGTGCTGATCCTGATGACTTGCCTTGTCGCCTTCGCGTGTGGTTTCACTCGGCGAGCCTATTTTCTTTTGGTCTTCAGAGCTCCCTGAGCTGGCATCGGTACAGCCATTCGGCGACGGCACGGCGAGTGTTTGCGTTGCAGCAGAGAAACCTGACACTGGAAGCTGACGAGTTCAGGAAGAATAGCAGGGGTGTTGCGCGAGACAGTGTTTTGACAGTGGGAGCGTGCACGCATGTGATTGCAGCCTGGCGGCTGCTGCGCGTTTCGGCCTTGTTGGCCGTACCTTGGCGTCCAGATCAGATGATTGCTAGCACATTGGAAGCCTAGCATGGACAGATGTGGACATGCACGTGTTTAATTGCAGCCGAGTCGCTTGCACCAAAAATCAGTCCTTGGCTTGGACATGTTCAGTGAATGCATGCGTGGGAAGTATGAGAGTGTGAAGGTCTTCGAAGGCACCCCCCAGCGTACTTAGTACTGGGATGGCCTTATTTTAGGCGCCTTATAAGAGAATGTCCCGCAGCACACGCTCCCTGCTTCCCCGATGTTTCTGGTCGGATTGAAACATCCTTCGCCCATATGTGTTCACCGATTGGAGATAGATCGGATCCCCGGTAGTAACGCGCACCCGCGAGCGAGTACACGCGTTCCCGTTGACAGGCTCAATGGGAAGCCCCCTTGGCCCTTGGCACTGAGGAAAACAAACCGATCCTCGCGCAAAGCGCGTCCGTGGCACACATCCCAAAAGTATGCCCGCGGCCTACTTTTGGAATGCTCAAGGAAGGCACCTCGGCTCTTTTTAGGTATTTGGAGGCCGCTTCGCTAGTGAACTGGCGCGTACAGCAGTCGCTGTAGTTCAACGCCATTGCTAGCTTCCAAAAGACAGTTAGCATGTCCCCTTAGGGGGCGAGCGGAGGGTCCCAAAAGCGCATTGTGTGTACGGTTCGGGTTCGGCGTTTTCGGTGCTTGGCTGCCACTTGCCAGGCCTCATAAATTGCCGGCAGGTGGCAATCCTAAGGGGTGTAGATTGTCAGAAGGTGGCAATCCTGGTGGGGGGGGGGGGCTAGATTGCCAACAGGTGGCAATCACACCCGCGTTTTTGGTGCTTAGCTGCCACTTGCCAGGCCTAATGGATTGCCGACAGGTGGCAATCTTAGGGGGTCTAGATTGTCGGAAGGCGGCAATCGTAGCGGGGTACAGATTGTCAACAGGTGGCAATCACAGGGGATTTAGATTGTCAGCAGGTGGCAATCTTAGGGGGTACAGATTGCCAACAGGTGGCAATCTTAAGGGGGTACAGATTGCCAACAGGTGGCAATCACAGGGGATCTAGATTGTCAGCAGGTGGCAATCTTCGGGGGTACAGATTGCCAACAGGTGGCAATCTTAAGGGGGTACAGATTGCCAATAGGTGGCAATCCTGGTGGGGGTTGGTGGAAAGGGGGCGGATGGCTGTCACACTCCCTTGCTGGCCGGTTGCCCTTTGGATTGTCAGCAGGTGGCAATTTTCAGGGCTTCAGATTGTCAGCTGGTGGCAATCTGGGTGGAGCTTGGTGGAAAGGGGGCGGATGGCTGTCACACTCCCTTGCTGGCCGTTTGTCCCTTTGGATTGTCAGTAGCTCTGGACCCTCCCGGCGGATGGCTTTCACACTCCCTTGCTGGAATGGGGTTCAGGCTTTGTTGGGGTCTGGGGTTCGTCAGGGTGGAAGCTTTGAAGGGGGTTTGAAAAAGTTAGGGCTCCAGGAAGCTTCGTCTGTCACCACTACAGTAGGGCTCCCGGAATCTTCGGCATCCACCGCTACAGGAGAGCTCCAGGAAGCTTCGGCTTCACTTCTACAAGAGGCCTCCAGGGATGCTTTGGTTTCGACTCTACAATAGGGCTGCAGGAAGCTTCGGTATTTACCTCTACAAGAGGGCTCCAGGAAGCTTCGTTTGTCACCTCTACAGTAGGGCTCCAGGAAGCTTCGGCATCCACCGCTACAAGATGGCTCCAGGATGCTTTGTTTTTCACCTCCGCAGTAGGGCTCCAGGAAGTTTCGGTTTCCACCCCGCTAAGTGCGCTTCACGAAGCTTCAGTTTGACCTCTGCAAGAGGGCTCCAGGAAGCTTCGTTTTATCGTCTCTACAGGAAGCCCCAGGAAGCTTCGTTTTTTTTCACCTCTACAAGAGGGCTCCAGGAAGCTTCGGTTTGACTTGTACAACCGGGCTCCAGGAGGCCTGGAGAGCTCGAAGCGAAGGGCTGCTCTCCTGTACTGTTTTGAGTGACACGGCTGACATGCCGGGGCTGCTGGCGGATCTTCTCGCGACTGCAGGGCGTGGGCCGTGCGGTCAGGCTGCGCTCGTCGCTCTTTTTTCACTGGCCGAGCTCGTGCAGAAGCTTCTCCCGCGTTGTTGCTAGCTTGGCCCTTGCCAGGTCCGTCTTCTTGTGCGACTAAGCTGTAGGCGGCCGCTGTCCGGCGTGTCGCTTGACCTTCGCTCCACTACTTTGGCCGGTCCGTGTGCGATGCTGTCGCACGTGCCGATGACTTGCGATGGTCTTGAACGTCTGATGTTTTTAGCCGAGCTGCCGGGTTTGCCCTTGTGCGCCCAGGGCTGGACGATCCCGCTCGCTTCCCTGCTTGCGGCTGTCGGGAACCTTCCTCTTCTGAGTTCGCCTGCAGTGCCGGAGGAGGTAGCCGGAGGAAGGGGGGTGGCACGGGTTCTCCTTGTCGGTCTTCGGCCGCTGCGGCCACTCGCTGCTTGAGGGCCCACAGGTTTGGTACTAGGGAGTGCCCTGCTCTTTGATGTATCTGGGAGGCGAGGCACAGCAGCCAGTCCGTGTCGGCGTCGCTCAGGTGCAGGTGGTGTGCCAGCTTCCGGACGTCGCGGGCCAGCTCGCCATGCGCTTGCGCCGGTCGCAGTGGTTGCTGGACATTGGCATCCGCCGAGAGCTTTCTTGCTGCATCGAGGAAGTCCTTGACGACTGCCGCGGTCAGGTTGCTGTCATAGTGGGCCGCCATCTGTGCGGGGGTGGGAGGGGCCGAGTTCTTCCCCGCTTGAGCTTTCTGACGGCCGTTTGTTTTGTGCACAGCACAACGGACTTGGACGCTCGGCTGGGCGCTCGTTGCGGCTCCCTCGTGTTGTTCCGGCATGGCTGGTTGCGGTTTGTCTGCTGCTCTAGGCGTCGTTTGGGTCCCTGGGGGTGGCGCTGACAGACCTTTTGGGTGTGTGCACTGGCCGCCCCTTTTTTTTTTCCTTCGGATCGCCCGAGCTCCGCAGGCTGCCTAGCGCATGCGTTTCCCTCACTCCTGAGCGTGCTTGGTGTGGCCGCGAGTCGTTCTTGCGAGGCTCGCTGGATGTTTTTCGTCGGCGAGGGCGGGCATTGGAGCTTGCCTGTATGGCTGGCGTCGACCTTCGTAGAAGCCTGCTGCAGGCGAAGCGCTGTTGGAAGGTCGTGCACTTCGGCAGCACCTGCACCGGAATCTTGTTGCTCGAATCCGTCGCGTTGGTGTTGGCCTTTGCCCGGATCAGCATGCGTATGAAGGGAATTCTGCCCAGTCCGGCTGCTACGTGCAAGGCTGTGCGGGCTGTGCGCGGCTCGTGCTTTATGGCGTTGTGCCGCAGGAGAAGCCGCGCCATGTTGGGGCGGTCGTGCTTCACCGCCACGGCCAGGGCCGTCAGCCCGTCGGAGGTTCTCCGCAGGCTGATGTTGGCTGCACACCGGAGCAGCAGCCTGACCATTGACGTTGTGCTGCTAAGCGCAGCGATATGCAGGGGTGCGTTGCCTGCGAGGTTCTCGAGGTCGGTGTTTGCCCTTGCTTGTAGAAGCAGGCGTGCGGTGCATAGGTCGTTGTTTCGGCACGCGATTGTCAGTGGCGCCTCGTGCTTGCCGAAGTTGACATCTGCGCCAGCGAGGAGCAGCATGCTGCCGACGCTCTTCGCGCGCAGCCAGACGGCGTATTGGAGTGGTGTCATGTCCGCGGCGGGGTAGTGCCGCAGTCGGGCTACGAGGGTTCCGTTGGGGTCTGCCGAGTCCTCCAGCAGGCGCTGCAGTTCTGCCGTGTCTCCCTTCTGAATGGCCCATGAGAGCTGGCTGCTATGTTCTTCCGTGCATGGTGGCGTCACGACGTGAATGTCCACGACCACTTGGCGTTGTGCTGCGGCGGCGAGGGTGTTCCAGCTTTGGTCGTCGTCCAGCACCTTGTTGTGGATGAGGAACTTGGTTCTGTAGCGCGGCGTGCCAATGGCCTCATGCAGGTAGATGCGCAATGTCTCTGCGAGAGCCGTGCTGCCGACAGCGGGTGCGCAGTCTGCCACGGGGCAGCTTCGCAGCAGTTGCCCCGACATGGCGTGAAAGTGGATCATGGTTGTGGGCGCTGCGTCGAGCGGCCCGTGTTGTTCCCGGGCTCCTGTGCGTTTGGGCTGAGGATGCTGCGGATGGAGCGCACGGAGACCAGCATCAAGGCTTTTTGTCTGTGCCCTTGTGTAAAGATTTGTGCACATGGACATATCGCGCCTTTTCTGTCGCTGCCGTCTCGTTGCATGCGTCCCTGCTGGGTGATCTTTACTGTGCGGTCTGGGCAAGTCTCTCTACGGCGCAGAGGGGCTGCGACCATGGGGTGTCTGTGCATTTGTCGGTCTGGAGGGAATGCACCTTGCCGGGGGCAGAAGTGTTTGTTCGTGCCTGGAGGTTATATATAGTATGCAGCGAGTTGAGCCGGGGACACGATGTCCCGTGCTTGCATCCATGTCAGCTGGTTCCTCGAGATGCATCGTGCCTGGCTGAAAGGAAAGAGATGGTCCGACAGGCTGAGGGGCGGACACGCTTGAGAGTTCCAGAGCGTCTGCAAGGAGCCAGAGCATCCTGGAACGAGGAAGCGTTGGGGGGGAGTGATGCAGTGGCGGTGTGTGCCTCAGCCTGTGTTCGTAGAGCTGAACCTGTTGTGCCATGGACGACGGCCAGGCTGCGTGTATCGCCTTCTCCGGCAACGAGTACTCGTAGCTTGGCGCTGGGAGTGGCGCGGCAGGGGCCTCGGCGTACACGATGGTCGGAGGTCGGTGAAGCTGGGTTTCGATCAGCCGCGCTTCCGTGGCGAGGGCCTTCAGCTGATGCAGCGCTGTCATTGGGACAGCGGCAGCATGAATTGTATTCGACAGCCGGGGCTCGGCCTTGTACTGCTGGATCTCGCTCCATGGCTGGCTTGGCCTGCTGGCAGGCGTTGCTTGTCTTCGACGCCACGGTCGCTGCGCTGCCGTCAAGGAGCTCGTATGCATACACGTTTCCACGTGCCGGGCGGCTAGTGGCGGCCATGGTGTGTGGCCCAGCCATTCCGTATTCCGTGGCTTCTGCTCCCGACTAGCGCTTGTGGCCTCGAGCCAAATGCCTCGCATGCGCCCGGCTTGCACTGTGCATGTCGGCCACGCACGTACCGTCCAGATCGACCGTTGTCGGCCCGACTGCATGGCGACAGGCGGCGATGTTGGTCTCTCAACTGGTGCACCTGTACAAGCTCAGCTGCGAGTGGGCGCCCTCTTTTCATGCGGGTCGGATTGGCGTCGTCCGTCCCGCTGTGCTGCTGTCTGTCCTGTTGAGGCATGGCTGGCGCTCGGGCTCAGGGGTCGCAGCCGCCGCTGAGTATTTCGCGCAGAAGCCACTTGCCGCAGCTTACTTGCTCGTTCTTGGCGCTCACGGGGATCTTCGCATAGGCCTCGTCGAAGAACGCCTTCTGGCGGATGTAGGCGACGGGGCCTTTGAAGAGCAAGACTATGGCATAGTCGCCGGACTCCGTCCGGAACTCCGACAGTTTGCGCTTGCCTGCGTTCGTTCGCAGCAGTTGCATCAGCGTTCGGAGGGTTTCCTTGGCGAGGGTGCCTTCAGCATCTGGTGGGCAGATCTGACGGAGGGTCCTGTCTCCGGCCGTGGCTGCGAAGGTCTGCGCTAGCTCCAGCATTTCGAACATGGGTGTGGATCTCGGAAACATCCTGCGTGTTACTGTCTGCGTCTGGAAGTGGACATCGGAGCTGTCGCTTACTTTGATGTTCATCACGCAGGGCTCCTGTGCCACGTAGATCCGCATCGTGGCCGCGTTCTTCGTACTCAAGGCCATCAGCTGGAGCTCCACCTGCCCTGGGTCCGGGGCCAAGCCCGGACCAGGGAACACGACGTCCACGCCGTGCGGTTTCTGGTCTAGGAGCTGGAATCCTGGTGCATGCAACGCGTCGCAGAGCCGGGCGAAGGGCACCTGCGGCATGTACGGCTCCCCACCGCGTAGGTTGACTGTGGAGAGTAAGTTGCCACTCACGGCGGAGATGAGCTTGCAGTGCACGTGACCGGGTAGGGGGTCCTCGAAGAGCCCGGCCGCAGTGGGGTCGCCTGTTGTTGTCGGAGGGTTCACCTGGGGCAGGCGTGCCCGCAGCAGGGTCTCTCTTGCGAAGTTGACGGCTGACTCCAGCTTGGAGCAGAAGTGGTAGGCAGCCACTATCATGTCCATCTGCGGGTCTTCCGTGTGTGCTAGGATGAACGTCTTCAGCTTCTGAACTTCGTGCAGGAACATGGCTAGGGTCTGCTTTGCGTCAATTGGGCAAGCGGTCTTGCCCTTGCCGACTCCTTTGGTCTCGTTCTTGTCAAAGCCTTGGAGTGTCATGGCTTCGTGCGAGGCACAGGCGGGCCGTTTGAGCGATATGTCTGCGGTCCATGCGCCTGCGAGGCTGCAAGCCAAGTTCTACGCAAGCTTTCTGATTACTTTTTCCCCGTCTGGATTTTCACATCAGCTGTGCTCCTGCGGAGGCTGGCACGATGCTGTCGGGCTGAGGTGGTTGGCTGCCACCGCCCGCATCGTCCTTCTTTCCCGGCCTCTCATTTGCCCGTCACTCGCAGCGTGGGTGCCGCTGCCTTGTCTCGGTGTTGCTGAACTCTCTTGCTGCTCTGTCGGGCTTGGACCTGTCGGAGTCTCGAGCTTGGGCTGTTCGTCCTATGCTTCGGTGCTCGGGTTGGCTGCTTCCGACGACTGTCGGTTGTGGCTGTAGTCCGCATTTGCACTTGGTGCTGCTCGCGCATTCAGCCTCGCTTGGACGACTTTCTTTTGGATCTTCGGGTCTATAGGCCTGCGGCTATGGCTGTGTGCTGCTGCTATGCCTAGCTGGCTAGTCTTGGTGTCAAGGACACCTCCGGCTTGGCGGCACCCACGCTTGGCGTTGCTGGCTACTGCTGGCCGTCTGTGTCGCGGCCCTTCATCCCGCGGAGGATCGGCTTCTCGCACCTTGAGGTTCGGGGCGCGCCTCGGAACCAGTCTGTTCGCAGGCCAAGCAGAGCGCAATCTGACCGAGGCTAGGTAACGAACACGGGCCCTCTGTGCGTACCAGGCGCGGCCTTTGCCTGCAGCGAAACCGCACTGATAGCAACCGTGGCAGGGGAAGTGCGTGATCTTGTAGCTACGGCTTGTTGGCAGCGTGTCGTGCACGGGGGCCGGTTTCTTTTCAGTCGGAGCCTCGCGGGCTTTGGCTGCGGCGGTCAGGTTGGGGGCCTCCAGCGGTGTTGGCGGCTGAGAGGCCTTGCCGGGGTCGCGGGCTTGCGGTGGTGGTGGCGAGGGGCTGTGGGGGGAAACAGGGGGGGTGCAGCTGCGGGGGTCTTCCGGCTGCATTTCTGCCGGCAACGTTGTGCGCTGACGCTTCGAGGGAGGTTCCTCGGCCTTGGCGGTGGACGGCAAGGCTTGGAGGATCGTGGAGGGCGCACTGCCGAAGTGGGCCCGGTCGTCTATACTATCTCTCAGGTCTCGCAGGCCTGGTCCACTTCTGGCGGTTCTGTCGTGCCTGCCTGGGTGTTAGCGAGTCGAAGCAGTCAGCGGCTGGCTAGACGTGTCTGCCTCCGAGGTACCGTGCCGCTCTCGGTGAGGGGCTCGGTCGCCAGGACATGGGGGGCCTCTCCTTCCTTACAAAGCTCAAGCCCAAATTTGGCAGACGCTTCGGACGTGCGAGCAGCGGCTACTTAGACTGGAAGGTGAGGCCGGGCGGCGGCGAACTCACTGGTGGTTGCCCGTTCTGGATCTGCTTGGTTTACGGCGACGGCCATGGCTGTGTCGGGGTCCTGTACGGAGGTGCTGTCTGTTCTGCTTGAGCAGCATGGCTTTGCACGCCGGCGGTCCAGAAAACTTGACGGGACCTGTGCCAGCAGGGGGGGGGGGGCGTGCTGAGTGCCGGCGGACGGCTTATAAGGGTTCTGGAGAGTCTGTCCTGCTGGGCGGCGGCAGCACCAGCAGGGTGGTGAACGTGCGACTGTCGCTCGGGTCTTTCACCAGCTTTCTGTCCGTTGCTGTGCTTGCGTGTGAGACGGGTCGGTCTTACGCTTGCTCGTCACTGGAGTCCTCGTCGTCGATGATCGGCTCTTCCTCGCTGCCCTCTTCGAATCCCCATGGTTCCATGTTCCAGTGAGGTCGTGAATGCCGTTCAGCAAGGTCTCCAGCATTTGCCCGTTGTTTGAGTATGCAGCAACGTGCACGGGCGTCACGTTGTATTGATCCCTGGCCTGGAGGTTGGCTTGGTGTTCCAACAGTCTTAGCACCGGTTCTATGCTATGCTGGCCGCAGGCGTAATGTAGGGCTGTGCAGCCCTCCGCGTCCGCGACGCTGGCTTGGGCTCGTGCTGTGAGGAGAACGGCCACGACGTTCCAGTGGTGTCTGCTCGCGGCTTCCAAGAGTGCTGTACTTGTCGGTTTCAGGGATGCGTGTGTCGGTGGCCGCTCCGGCTTGCACGAGCATTGTGGCAATCTCGACGTTGTTGTTGGCCGCTGCCGCATGCAGGGACCGGTCGTTGCCCGGCCGTGTCAGGTCCGCTTTGGCTTCCAGTAGCATCTCCACGATCTCCGTTCTGTTGCATGCGGCTGCCACTTCCAGGGCGGTGACTGGCACCTCGCCGCAGCACTGGCACATGCGCTCCGTTGTCGTATCTGGATGTTGTGGTCGTTGGAGGATGGCCTCGACGTCGTTCGGCGGGCTCAGGCTGACGGCGTCCATTAGCTCCTGTTCCACGTCTTCAGATTGTGGGATGTAAGCGAGGAGGACGACGAACACCTTCTGGATGTTGGTGTCCAGGCTGCACGTGTCCGGCAGCGGCTCGCTTTCTCGGTCGGAAAGCAGTCGTTGTCGGAATCGCGGGAGCCCGAGCAGCGTGCAGAGTGCCCGCTTGACGTGTCTGGCCGTGTTGTTGCCAGCTGGCAGGTGCACATCGGCCAGCTTGTTGCCGGATGCCGCCAGGAAGACGGCGATGGTGCGAACGGGTGAAGCCATTGGCGCAGAATCGGGTGCTGGGCCTGACGTGGGGTCGTTCTTTGGAGGTTTGAGCCAGACTACTGAGGCCGCAGGGTTGACTGACAGGCGGTGCTGCAAGAGCTGTGCGAAGGTCGGGCTGGCTAGTTCACGTGCTGTATCCCTGGTCTTTTCGCTTGACGCATGCGCACTGCCGGCTCTTGCCTGCGGGCTTTTTGGTCTGAGCTATGACGCTGGTGCCGGGCATGCCCTCGCGTCACTGACTGTGCGTGGCCGCGCAGGCTTCGCATCCGCAGGTCGCTGCACCCGTCATCCTCCGACCTGATAGTGCGCGTCATGGCATGGCTGGATTCGGTATAGCTTACGTCTGTTAGTTGTTTTTTGGGACCCTGGCAGCCGGGAAGTGCCAAGGTGGATGCTGCGGATTCGTTTTCACTGTCGCAGAGCTCCTTCGACTAGATCGAGCAGGGCTACCGGCTGCTTGGCTTGTGTGCTGTTGTCCTCCGGGCAGATCTCTTCGGCGGCCTCGTGCAGGGCGAGCTTGCTTTGCCGTGGCCGTGCCTTGCTGCAGTTCCGACCTCGGTGCTGTCGCAGGAGCGTACCGACCTTGTGTCCTGCAGCTGATGGAGTGGTGCGGCATGTGGAGCTGTTGCAGACACGGTTGTCCTCCAGGTACGCTTGAAGCTCTTCGTCGAAGCGGCGTGCCTGGAAGGTCGTGCTTGGGGACTGTCCTTGTGGCGGCAACGCGGCCTCTGCTTCGGCCCTGGTCGGACCCACGAAGCGGAAGCCCTGGGGGATGTCTGGCTCCTCGGTGCGCCGTTGCCGCGGCATTTTCCATGGCGTGCGCTCATGTTGCTGCGCGCCTCCATTGCGACTCGGTAGTTGTACTCCTTCGATGGCATGTGCTGTTCGTCAGCAGCGGTTGCAAGCATGCTGGCCTGCGGATCCAGCCAGTCGGCTGTGGCCCACATGTAATCTTCTCCTGTCATGTAGGATACCTGCGCGGAGTTGGGGGCGGGTGCTTCTTCCCCTGGTCGCCGTTGCTTCGACGCACCTCGAGGTCGTCGAGCCAGATGAGGAAGGGCATCGTCCTTGGTGCGCGCTCTGCGGGTGCCGTTCTTATGATAGCATGCAGCCCTTTCACACACGGGGCTCTTCGGGGTTTGTGATTGCCGTGATATCAACTGCCCACCGGAGTTGCCCGGTGTCAATGGCGCGGATGTATAGGTTGCGCCCGGGCAGGAGCTGGTAAGCCGAGAGCTCGAGTCGGCGCGTGCTTCTGCACTGCATGTTCAGTTTCTGTCATATGATGGCGAGCAGCATATGGACACACGGCAGCAATTGGGGACTCTCGGTTTTTTTTCCTTCGTGTTGCTTGGAGCGATGGTTGTTGTCCGAGGCCGTCGCCAGAGCACTGCGTGTGATCGCGACTGCGAGCTTTCCCAAGTACGTCGCCATTGCTGCGTCGCCAAGGCGCTCGGCTCAGCAGGCGGAGGCATTCCTTTATCGCACGCGGCGACGGCGTTGCCTGGCGTGCTTTTCCGCGGCCTGTTGCCGACATCTCCGAGCCAGCATCAGATGCTTCTCGAGCTTCTGGAGGCCTTGTTTGGTGACAAGTCGTCCGTTCTTCTGTCGTCCCCGCCTGATGCTCGCGACCACTCCTTGTACCTGTCGGAAGATGCTCTCCCAGTCGGCTCTGGCTGCTTCGGAGAGGTCGCCTCGTCAGGGTTCTCGCACAGAGCAGTTCTGTCTTTGGCGGCGGTTGGTGTCCGTTAGGTGCCTTGAGCTTTTTCAACCAGCTGGTTCACTGCATAGCCGACCGTCCTGTAGAGACACGGCATGGCGCGGAAGTCCATGGCTCGCTGCCGGGCGAGTCTACCCGCAGGTTTCTGCTTGCCAGTGCCCGTTGCTGCTTTCGAGCCGACAGGCGGAGACAGCGTGCACGCTTTGGTCTGTGACTACACACCTTCCCTGCGCACCAATGTGCCCCGCGCTTGCGGTTGGCTTTTCTGTATCTCGGTATGTCAACTGCGGCTACCGGGAGTCCGCGTGGGTCTGCGGCCTTGCTTGATCTCGGTGCAGTCGAGTGCGATTGGCCTGGGCCTGGTGACTGTGTTGCCAAGCAGAGCGCATGTATCGAGCTGCGGGGTCTGGGCAAGAGACTAGATCGAGGTTGGAGTGAGGTAGCGGCGGTCATGGGTACGTGTAGCTCGGCCAAAAATCCTCGGCTCAGTCCGAATCTTCTGTATCCTCGGCATGTTGCAGCGTGCGGGCTTGTAAGGGCACGACGTTGAAGTCCAGGCCGTCTTCCCTCGACCATCGGCACCATCCCATCGTCGCCGCTCCATGACAGACTTCCTCCTGTGCGCTTGAGCGGCATGGTT